GTCAGAATTAATTATTTAAAGAGGTTCGGCTACACCTGTTCAGAAATTTTTAATGCAGGCTTTTAAAAATAAGCTATTGTTTTCCTAGCATTTTTTTATACGGCTATATTTTACTTCTGGATTTTATAAAATTTAACATACAATTTAAGGGCCGTTTAAACCCCTAGCAAAAACAAGCATTTTTGGGTTTGATCAGTGGGTGGCAATTTTATTGTTCTCTGATATCCGGTGTTTCACTTAAAAATTCATAGCTCCTTTGAATTTTATCTAATGTCATCGATGAAATGAATATTTTATAAGTTAGTGAAATCTTTAAAGGAAACGGTCTGTCCAACAGCATATAATTTTATGCTAACAAATATTTCAAATTTTGTCTAATCTGAGGCCTACTGTATGCAAAGAAATAGTTAAAACATGAAAAAAATTGAACAAACTTTTTTAAAACTGGATTAATTTAGTTAATTATTTATTAGTATTGTTTTTTAATATTATTTTTAATGGTAATAAGGTTTGATGTACAATGTTTTGTAAATCGCACGATATAAAAAGACTCAAGTAGATAGTAAACATCGGACCAGGTTAACAAATATATTCTCGAACGGATCCCATCTAATTATATTTTTTTAATTTGACCTTCATACCAAAAAAACAATGTATATTTCCACCAGCATAAACCTTCCATGAATAGCCAATTAATACAAAAATTAAGGACGTGAAAAACCAAATTTCGATGGATATTTTCAAGTAATTTTTAGCAATAAATCGAATTTTATAAGTTTAGAAGAACCAATTTTTTTCTTTAAATAAAATCGCTCTGAATTTCATTATTGAACCGACGTCTGCGGTGTTTTCGGCTTCCGAACTGTGTATTTATGCCTGCTAACTGAAAAGGGAACGTTTATCAAAACATCAACCTCCAAATCCAACCTTTTGAGGTTTATTTAAAGACGTGTTTTGGAGTTCTAATTTTAGATTGTTTAGTTCATTTTAACAGGGAAACACAATGGTTACAGCATCAGGGGCTTAGATAGCGACTGGGCCGTTTCGCTAATGGGCCGTGGTTCTCTGATGTCGCAGGAACGAGCCCATTAACTTGAAGTATTGCGTCCTGATAATATCCTGCAGCTGTAAAGTCAGCAATTACTGTTTACAGACCCAGCGGTTTTTTTTATTATAGGAGATTGAACAAAATGGTAATTTTTTTTGTCATTTCGGAATGAAAAATCTCTAATGATCAAATGAAAAAAGAATTTTTTTTAAGGGTTAAGTGTGAACGATAGGATTAAAAGCTATGAATCATTTCTTTTCTAGCCCTTTTGTTAAGGGATTTTCAACATTTGCCCCTTAAGGGTGAAAACGGATAGGGGAAAAGGGGGAGTGCAAATCTAATGAATCGGCTTTTAGAGGAATCTGATATAGTTTACTGGGTCGCACAACACGCTATTGGATTTTAAAATTAGCGCTGGGAAAAGAGGGAGAAAAAGATTTGACAGCCAATTAATTGTTTATTTATTATTTAGACAATTTTAATACAAGTTATTACAGAGAGAAGGAGAGAGAGAGAGAGAGAGAGAGAGAGAGAGAGAGAGAGCGAGAGAGAGAAGGAGTGAGAGAGAGAGAGAGAAAGTGAGGAACGTTGAGGGGGTAATATTCACCGAGTGACCTTGTTGTATCTTTAAAAGCGGTTCTTTCTTTTTATAAAAACGTGTCTGAGTACACATGAAATTATTCTAACGAATCTTTTATTTTTTAATATATAAATTACATTAAGTAGGTTTTGTTTTATATTGGTGGTCAAAAAGAAAAACTGAGGTAATACGGTCAAATGTCTCAAAATTTAGGGAACTTCGGTGACTGTGATTTCTTGAAAATTTGGTTACTATAAAAAGAGAAAATATGTAAATAAATATCATTTTATTTATATAGATACTTTTTTCGATAGCCTATTTCTCGTCAAGATAGGATGACCTCGGTATTTCCTTGCATTGATTATTTATGATTATCTTAAATGGCTGGTTAAAGAAATAACGGTGTCGATAAGAGGACTTGATGTAATTTTGAACCTCTCATTAAATCACCCTAGATTGAAAGCGATCCCTTCAACTCTTTACACCCAGCGACTAATTGCACGCACGCCCTGGGAGGAGACGAGCGTGCCGGCTCCCCCAATGTCATTGTACAAGGTGCAGAAATGAGTCAGTCTTGAGGAGCGAATACGACTCAATCGATAATAAAACAGGCAATTAGTCGGCCGTCTGCGAGGGGGTCACGGTGCGCTGATCCTGAGTCACGGCACTGATTTACATCGGACCCCTCCGAACAGCCTGCCAGGGCGTGGCCGCCGATCCTTTTGGCTCCTTTTCAAAAGCATCCCCTGTGCCCTTCATTTCCTTCCGGTCCTCCCAACCCAAATCCGAGACTGGGGAAATTGGATTGTCGGTTGAATATGATTTGTTGTGTTTCGGACCTTTCTCAACCTCCCTGTATGAAGGATATGTCCTTCACTTGTGACATTTCTCTGGCAAGGGTTTGAAGAAAAATAAACACTTTCAATTTTCAGCGAGTGGCACATTTTCCTAAAACTAGGTCAAAAATGAGGCAATAACATAATAAGAACATTCTTTCTTTAGTAATAGGGGTGCTTTTCACGAGAAAAGTTTTACTTCCAATGTCTGTGCTGTCAGTTTTCTAAGGAAAAAATTTTGAATTAACAACTGCTGGTCGATAACAACATCCTTACTGCTAATTAAATACTAATTTGCTCCTTGAAAATTCTTTTTGTATTTTTATTAAAAATGTTAAAATATTTTTTAAGCAGTTGATCGTCGGTTTTGCACCTGAAAATACTACATAATGCAAAATTTTAAAAAAAATTCTTATATTCTTAGTTTTGCTTTCAACTGCCTGCGATTAATTTTCAAAATAAGAAGGTGATAAGTTTAAAACGATTCGGCCAATCCACAGGAACCTTTGCAGAGCTTTATTACCCTATCATCTTTGCTTTATGGCATAAATTTAACTTTTGCAAATAAATCACCACCGGAGATATAAAATAAAACGTTTCAGGTGTTTTTGGCGATTTTATTCTTATTTTTTTCATGTATAATGGATTGGTAACATAAGCCGAATCTAGAATAATCCATCTTTTTGACCATTTTTCCTAACGTTGAATTGATAAAGTCTAGAGAAGTTGGAATTTTTTACGAAAACTACTTAGGTAAACAGATATCAGAGGAAAAAATTGCCGCCATTCAACCCAAAAATATCTATTCGTATATAAAAATCCGTATTTAAGAGCTTTAAAGAGTTTTTTAAATGAACAAATAAGAAGTTGAAGTAGTATGGGGTGTTTTCAACCCCTTACAAACAAATTCTATTGAGATTTATTAAAGCTTTTTTAGTCATGTGATACGCCTAGTTTTAATGATGTGATTTATGTAGAATATCTAGAAACAATTAATCTTTAAAATACAAATAATTAACTTTATTCTAAGAGGCAAAAAAATACTATGGAAATACCTTTGAATTTTTAGGAAAATCATAATATTGATATGGAATAAAACTTTTTCGTTTATTGTATACGTCCAGATTTTTTAATCTGTTTTATGCAGAATTTGTAAAAACAACGAATCTTCAATGTAAAAACAAAGAAATGTATTATATGCAATAAAAAAATTAATTAGCTTAAGAATACTTCTTGCCTTTCGAGAAATCACTAGAGTGAGTGGGATTAACAATATTTTGTATTTATGTGATAAGTCTAATTTTTATTAATCCTGTTTATCTAGAATATCTAGAAAAAATAATTTTTAATAGAAAAATAAAAAACATTATTCTATGTACTAAAAAAATAATTAGTAAGGGAATGCCTTCTAGTCTTCAGAAAAGGCATTAGATTAAGTTAACCCCATTTTTATTTATATGATACATCTAGTTTTTATTCATCTATTTTGTAAACAAATTAAAAAAACAATTAATCTTTAATTGAATAATTAAAAACTTTATTCTATGTAGTAAAATATTTTATGGGAATGATTTCCAGGCCTTAAGGAGATTATAAGAATAAGATGGGGAAAAAAGCTTCTTTTTTTTTCTTTTACATGTTGAATTTTTTTAATGTGGATTATACAGCTTTTCTAGAAACAATTATCTGTAATAGAAAACTAAAGAACTTTATTCTATGTAGTAAAATATTTTATGGGAATGATTTCCAGGCCTTAAGTAGATTATAAGAATAAGATGGGAAAAAAAGCTTATTTTTTTTCTTTTACATGTTGAATTTTTTTAATGTGGATTATGCAGCTTTTCTAGAAACAATTATCTGTAATAGAAAACTAAAGAACTTTATTCTATGTAGTAAAATATTTTATGGGAATGATTTCCAGGCCTTAAGGAGATTATAAGAATAAGATGGGAAAAAAAGCTTATTTTTTTTTCTTTTACATGTTGAATTTTTTTAATGTGGATTATGCAGCATTTCTAGAAACAATTATCTGTAATAGAAAAATAAAGAACTTTATTCTATACAGTAAGAAAATTAATTAGTGTGGGAAAACCTTCTAGTCTTTTATGAAAGTCATTAGATTGAGATGGATTAAAGCTGTTTTCATTTATAGAATATGTCTAGTTTTTATTAATCTGGTTTGTGTAGAAATTAAAAAAATATTTGACTTTTATTTGAAAAATTAAGAACTATTCGATGTAGTAAAAAAACAATATAATTTATATAGGAATGCCTTCTTGTCTTGACGGATATCATTACATTGAGATGGATACGCCCTTTTTATTTTTATCTTAGTTCGTTTGTTCTAGTTTTTTAAATTTATTTTATATAAAATTTCTTAAACTAAGAATCCTTAATAGCCAAATTTTCATTTTTTGGTTTTTTAGTGGTGAACAACTGAGGAAGTGTGGTATTGAGTTTTATGCTTTAAGAGGCTTATTCGTTTGAATCTTGTTAGTATTTTTTCAAATGACATATTTGTTTTGCAATATCTTACCCCAATGCTGGCCAACGATGGGAACCTTTTCTTCAGCATATTGGACAGTTTGAATCACTTTATTTCACAGTTATCTTCTATTCAACTCTCGCTCATTCCTTATATATTTTTACTTTGATATAAATTTATGCATAGTTTAGAGGCAGAATGTATTGTGAAATGTTTGTACGGTATTCTTTTGGATGATGTTTACCCTGTCCAAACTGCTGTCAGCGTATCGTTCTGTAAAATTTGTTTTAGATTTTTGTTATGTCAGAAATGGTTTGGACTTGTTTTTGTTTTTTTCAATACCGTTGCGTTTTCGTCAAGATATGAGTGAGATGAAAGTGGCCGAGGAACCAGTTAAACACCCGACTGAAAGAAAACTGATTCGTTGAGTCGTACCGGGTTTAAAAATAGTCGGCAAGAGTTAGCACCGGATTTAGATCGGCTTTAAGTCTCGGGTGGAACTTCGAACCGTACGAAAGTTGGAAATCGGGTTGAAGATATTGGTTTTGGAAAGTCCCTCACACTGTTCAAATCTTTTGTCTAAATTTGATCGGAATGACAAAATTCAGCACAGATCCCAAAGCCATGACCTTTAATTTGGGCTGCAATGCGGGGCACCGGTGGTCGTCCCTGTAGAGCGATCTATGGTGGAATACAGCAACAAACAGCTTGCTTCTCTTTCTTGCCACTTTATGGCGTAAAGTGGTGATCCCATAGGAATTTTAGAATAAATTATACTTATTTAAAATCAATTTTCTATGTTAAAAATATTTTATATTAATTATCAACAATAAATTATTTTATAAAGAGCCAATTTCTAAATGAATATAATGAGAATAAGATAATAGTATTTAAATTCTAGTTTTCTGTAGTTCTGTGTTTAGGTAAAAAAAAGCTATAACATTTTTCTATCCATAAATTAATAACTCATGTTAGTATGACAATATCTAAGAAGGAATAAAAACGAAAGTTATATATAGGGCGTTAACGTAAAAGTTTACCCAATAGTTTTTTTTTCTCAGAAACTAACCCTAGAATAATTTTTTTGAACATACTTTTTTTTTAAATTGACGAATTTTTTCATCAGTATATAATTTATTTTTGCAAAATTTACCTTTTTTTCGTACCAAACTAAAAATGTGACTTTAGAAAAAAACACCCAACAATATATCAAGTACGCAGAATTACTGATTAATAAAGACAGCTTTAGGAGAAAAACGAATCTCAAGTTTTTGATAAAGTTCTGACAGAAGGGTTAATACATGAATTTAAAAAAAATGTTCCCAATTCAGTAACTATTTCGAGTAAAGCAAGAGAATTCTCCGAATTTTTACAAATAAAGGCAGCTGTTCCTCAGGGGAGCGTTGTAGGTCTAATCCTGTTGGTCCTAAAACTATTTGTGGTTGTCCAAGCTTTCAGTTTAATTGTAATCTCTTAAATCTTGTCATTCTGATCTGTAGTCCAAGGTACTGACTTGTGTGGAAATAGGTAGGTTCTTGTTGACGTGCAATGGAAGGCAAGTCTGGTTTTCAATGTAATTGTACACTGGGTACATTTTCTTCATTCAGTCTTTTTCTTAACTTTTTACATTAGTCTTCGATCTACTCAAGGTGTTCTTGGGTTGAATGGTAGGGTTCGGGTTAGAAGGCATAATTAGTGTGATTAACATAAGAGGTAATGTACTGGGATGTGGGCATAACAATGACTTAGAATGCTCCCTTGTGAGACGCCGGCTTGTATTGATCAGATATCCCCACTCTAAAGCAGCGATTAGTTAAATAGGATTTCAATTATCCAAGTCTTCTGTTATGTTATTTCTTAAGGTTTGTAAGGGAATTCCACATCAGTCTGATGCCTACGTATAGACCATACCCATAGGTGACAACCTGAAGTATAAGTGATAAACAGGATGAGTCCAAGAATGCTGCGTTGTGAGACGCCGGCTTGGATTGATCAGATATCCCCACTAAAGCAGCGATTAGTTAAAAAGAATTTCAATTATACAAGTCTTCTGTTATTTCCTAAGTTTTGTGTGGGAATTCCACATCAGTCTGATGTCTAGGGATAAACCATAGGTGTTAACCAGAAGTATAAGTGTTAAACAGGATGGGACCAATAATGTTCCCTTGTGGGACGCCGGCTTGTATTGATCAGATATCCCCACTCTAAAGCAGCGATTAGTTACATAGGATTTCAGTTATCCAAGTCTTCTATTTTGTTTTTCTAAAGTTTTGCACGGGAATTCCACATCAGTCTGATGCCTATGTATAGTCCATACCCATAGGTGATAACCAGAAGTATAAGTGATAAAAAGGATGGGACCCATAATGCTCCCTTGTGGGCGCCGGCTTGTGTTGATCTAATATTCCCATGCAAAGCAGCGATTATATAGGATTTCAGTTGACCAAGTCTTCTGTTATCACTAAAGTGACTGTTCCACGTCAGTCCGATGTTTCCTTGTGGGAAGCCAGCCTGTATCTGATATATGTGCTTATTTAAATAAATAAAAAAATCTTGTAATATTTGTAAATAGATTTTATGTTACAAAAAACTGTTTTAATTTTTCTAGGTTGAATAGTTTTCCGGAAAACGAGCGGTGACACTAGTAAGCTGACATCTAATACATGAAAACGGGCGACTTTAAAGGATAAAAGTCCAATGAAAGGTACAATAAAGAAACTCAGTGGATAGGTCTTAACGCCAACGAAAAGAAGACAACAAAGAACTTATTCTTAAAAAAGAAATTTAGAAAGGTTCAATTTCACCAAAGAACAAACTAACAAATCTGTAGGTTGCGATGGGGAGTTGGTGTCCGAGGGGATCGAAGTAGCACGAAGCCACACCAGAGCAGCGGCCTATTGAGCCGAAGGTCGTGGGTTCGAATCCCGCTCGTGACACTAGCTTTTCCATTTCAATCAAAACCTTACATAAAAAATTAAGTAATTGAAAGAAGAATTTGACCACTAAATATAATAGATTAAAGAACAAACATATCATTTAACAGTAACTATAATTATTTTTCTATTGTCTACACGCGATGGTGAGTTTGTGATTTTTTTTTTTAAGTAAACTCATTATCTATCACGAAATTACTGTAACTTCGATCCTTCTGTAGACTTTTATGATTTATAAAATGCGTATATATTATTATCTCTTTATGGCAAAAATAAAACAAAAAGTAAGAAAGAAATAATTGGAGCAATAATTATTTCCTAGGACATTCTCTTTCATTGAATCATAAAGTACTTCCGACTCAACAAGTTATGAAGACAACTTAGGACAAAAAAAATCGTCCTATCTCGGTCCGTTTTATTTATGTGAAACAACTAAAGTTGTTTTGAGTTTTTTTTACAAAGAGATTTTCAATTTGATGTATGACATTTCGTACAATTTCGTGTTTGAACTGATTCAAAGCACGTACAAATGAAATTTCCCTTGCTATTGTAACGCACAACTTTCTCATATTCAGCCATGTTTACAAAGGACGTCTAATCGCGGGATCATAACGACTCAAAGCGTTGTAAATCGTTTTCCATCCTAGCTAGGATTTTCAGCCGACCCAATCATTTTCCACACCAGAGCAATAAAGTTTTATAAATGTATTAAACGAGTTTTCCTCTGTACACGAAGGTTTATTAATAAACCTCGAATAGACGAAAATTGGCAAACGTGGAAAAAATTGACATGTTTGAACAATAGAATTAATGAATGTTTTTCCAACCTATTGCGGACTTTCCTAGAGTAGGAATCTTTTAAAGAAGTTGGGCAAAATACTCAGCTCACCTTTATCATTTTGTAATTAGCCTTTTTTTTCTTTATATCTAATATATCGTCAAAAGATGAAAAACCCAAATTTCCCTAAAAAAATATATTATTAGAGTTTCACCCGATAGTATTGTACGAAAAAAATAATAAAATATAATAAAGTGAGAATTTTTAAAGAGGCAAAAGTAAAAAACATGAAATGTTATAAAAATGATTATTTTTTTACTTATAATATTATTTAAAAAGGAAAAAAAAGGGGGATGAAGCAGGATCAAATCGTTTTACTGCCAAGCGTTCAGATTTTTATAGCACCCATCAATTTTACCATAATTATCATCACCTTATTTGCCTTTTCTTAAAATAAAACTGACTTATTATTAAACATAAAGCTAAAAAATGTTTTTTAATCAAAAACAAATGCATTTTATTTTAAACAAACGCTTTTTTTTATTACATTACTGATATATTGTTTTTATTAATATTAAGTTTAAAGCTTAAAAATATGAAATGCATTTTGTACATACACGTTGTGTCGATTTCAAGTCGTCTTCAATTTCCTGGTTGGGACAGAAAAGAAGTTTTAGTTAAGATATCTTTTTTCAAACTAAAAACGTCCTACTGAGCGGTTTTCAGCCTCTGCCTGTCTCTAAGTTCCAACCTATTTTTACTTGCTCATCAACTTAGCTAAGCGTCGCAGCCCTAAATTAGTAGCCGAAATACTGCTTGAAATTACCTTATGTAAAATGAAAATAAAAACTTGTAAACTGCGCTTTGTTATTAAAAGCCTCTCCTTTTGTCATATTTCAAAAGCGAAAGCGATTCTAAACGCTTTTTATATTTCAAAATTATGTCTCTTCCTATTGGAGTTAAAACAAACTAAAACTTAAAAAAAAAATTTATTGTTTTCTACTCTAGCATAATCTACTTATCTATGACACTTAATTATGGTCTTAACCGTAATTATCTGCAACCTATCAAAAGTGAACATAAGCTAGAAATAATAGTAAAATTAATTTTAAAAAATACATTTATTAGCTTTACTCATACTAGGTATACATTTTTTTAAGCAAAAACTACGTTTAAAAACTGAAATTTTATATCTAAACAATTACATGTCATGTATTATTTCAATACAGAATCTTGCATACATCTGTATAACTGAGCGATGAGAACATGTCCCACATTTGGTACGGAGAAGATCTTGGGTTCAATCCACCTACATCATTTGACAATGAGGACAGTACAAAAAATATTATTAGTATTATTAAAGAGAAACCTCCTAGAATAAAACTAAAATGGAGAGATAGTAACAAACTATGGAAAGAACATCCAATCTACATGGCTCCAAGAGACGACATGAACAGGATATTTGAATTTAATCGAAACTTCCAAATAAACCTAGGTGACAAAAAAGAATAGAAAAGAGAGAAAAACATCTCCTTTAAGAACGGCACCTATTGGTACACATACGGATCTAGAACACAAGAAGGTACAGGGGTACTGGAAAGAAATACTTGGAATCCATGGAAAAATACAGCAGTATCTTTCAAGCTATGTCCACGCAATCGAGAGATGTATTCAATTCAACTTGAATAGAGGTAAAAAAACAAGAACATAGCTATCATGTCAGATAGCCAAACAGCCATCAAAGCACTAAGCTCGAATATCATTGGTTCAGAAATGGTGCTGCAACTAAACATATTTGGTACGCAGAAAGAAAACCCTAC